GTTGAAGGGTTCCAAGGTATGTTGGATTCATTGCAACTGACACCATTAAGAAGTACATAGTGGCATTTTACTTCGTGTAACAAACAAGAGGCAGGGAGGAGAGTGTATAGTAAAATAGATTGGGCATTAGGGGATTTAAAGGGGTTGCAACAGTATGGGAAGGTGGAAGTTGATTTTCTTAATCCCTCAGTATCTGACCATTCCCCTATTTTGATTAAATGTTGTTCTTATACTACTTTACATCCTAGACCTTTCAGATTTTATCCTAACATAATGGAGCACCCAGATTTTAGAAGCACTATGAATCAAGTATGGGAGATGGAGATCACTGGACAACCTATGGTGCAGGTTTGGGAAAAATTGAAGCAATTAAAGGTGAAACTAAATGATATAAACACATTTATGGCTGCATTTTCACAGAAATTACATGTAGCAAGAGAGAAACTTGACATTATTCAGAGACAGATTCAGGATGACCTAATGAATCAAATGTTATTTGATCAGGAGAAAATGCTATTATTAGAAATTGAGAAGTGGAGCAAGGTGGAGGAACAGGTACTAAGGCAGAAGTCTAGAGCAACTTGGGTTGAGTGTGGAGATGCTAATTCTAAGTATTTCCATGCTCAATGGAAGATTAGATGTATTCATAATGTTATTAGTTCCATCTACACTGAGAGTAATATCAAGCTTACTAATTCGAGGGCAATTGAGGCTGAATTTATTGGGGGGGTGTTTACTGGACTAATGGGTGCTAGTGCTAGTAATGTGCCTTGTTTAAATGATGAGGTGAAGACATGTGTGTGCTTGACTCTACAACAATAGAAGGAGCTGATAAAAGAGGTAACACAGGAGGAGATTATTGAAGCTATCAAGAGTAAGCCTAAAGAAAAAGCTCCTGGGTGGATGGTTTTCCTATAGAGTTCTTCACAGGGAATTGGGATATTGTCAAAAGAGAGGTTCATGAAGCAATTCAACAATTCTTTATCACTGGTAATCTTTTACCTGCTATAAATACAACAACCATTACTTTAATTCCTAAATTTCCATCCCTTGAAAGGTTAAGGACTATAGGCCTATTGCATGTTGCACATCTTTGTACAAAATCATTTTAAAAGTCCTTACAGGGAGATTAAAGATTGTAATAGCAGGGCTGGTTGGAAGGGCCCAATCTGCATTTATTGAAGGTAGAAGTATTTTGGATAATGTGATATTTAGCCATGAAATATTCAAAAGTTATGGAAGAAAATGCATATCCCCCAGATATGTACTTAAAGTTGATATAAGGAAAGCATATGACTCACTAGAGTGGAGTTTCTTGAAGCAATTAATGATTGAGATGGGATTTCCTACTAAGTTCATTTCATGGATTATGACTTGTGTGACCACTGTATCCTATTCATTGTTATTGAATGGAGGGTTAAAAAAAATCTTTTCATGCTAAGAGAGGATTAAGACAAGGAGATCTGATGTCACCCTATCTATTTGTACTGGCGATGAAGTATCTGGGTAGGGAACTACAACAACTATCAAAGAATGGGAACTTCAATTTCCATCCAAGGTGCAGGAAACTAGAGAGTATACATGTTTGTTTTGCAGATGATCTATTAATGTACTGCTGGGCTGATCTAATTTCTATTAGGCTCTTGAATGAAGCTTTCAAGAAATTTTCTAGAGCTTCAGGATTACATGCAAATGTAGATAAGAGCTCTTTGTATATAGCTGGAGTGCATGCTCATACTATGCAAAAATTACTGGAAGAACTTGGATACACGGAGGGCTCTATGCCTTTTAGACACTTGGGGTTCCATTGGCATCAAAAAAGCTTAGTGTCAATTAGTTTATGCCTTTAATAGAGAAAATCACTGCCAAAGTGACATGCTGGTCAGCAAAACTGTTATCATATGTTGGAAGAGTCCAATTGATAAAATCTGTCATTTTTGGGGTCCAAGCTTATTGGGCACAGGTATTTGTATTGTCTAAGAAGTTTATTAAGACTATAGAACAAATTTGTAGGACCTTCTTGTGGACAGGGGCAATAACTAATTCTAGGAAAGCTTTAGTGTCATGGGAAACAGTATGCAAACCACAAGCTGCAGCGGGACTAAATATTATTGATCTTAAATTGTGGAATAAGGCTGCAATACTCAAACAAATGTGGAATATAGCTAGGAAGAAAGACTGCCTATGGATCCAATGGGTGCATAGTTATTTCATAAAGAGCATGGGGATATAAACTGTCACTATACCTATTGTTGCTTCATGGGTAGTGCGAAAGATATTGAGTACAAGAGATTTGATAATCCAAAGGCCAGCTGGACAGGGTGAGTTGATGATGAAGTTTGCAAAGGTACATGAAGCTGGGAAGTTTTCCCTAAAGAATATGTATAACTCTATCATGCCTATTTTCCCAAGAGTAGAATGGAAGAGCATTACTTTGAAACAAAGAGTACATCCAAGATTCAAATTCATAATGTGGCTAGTTGTGCAGAAAAGATTAGCTACTATTGACAGACTTGAAAATTTTGGGATTCAGGTGCCATCTGAATGTGTGTTATGTTCTAGAACTAAGGAAACCTTTGAACATCTCTATTTTGAATGCCAAGTGACAAAGACATTATGGGGAAGAATGTGCAACTGGATGGGAATCCAAAGAAGTATTCACGACTGGAGAACGGAGATAGCTTGGATTAGTGAAATTGTGAAAAAGAAGATATGAGGTGCTGAGATCAAGACTAGTATTTTTGTGATGATGGTATATATCATTTGGAGAGAAATGAACAACATCAGGTTGCAACGAGGACGACTCAGTGCTGACAAGGTCCTTAGAGAGATTGGTATGCATATTCATCTAAGAGGACAACACAAGGCAAGTTGGACACCTATTCTACAAACTCTAAATAAATATCCTTAGAATAGTAGTTCCTTGTATGAGTTTATATTCTAGTTTTGTTTTCTGTATGATTTGGAAGTAGAGAGTTAGAATGAGAAATAGTTAGTCACTTAATTGTTTTGCTATGTATTGATCAAATTTTGGTTATAAATGAAATTCCATGTTATCAAAAAAATAATAATTCTAAGCATGAATTGATGATTTACTATGGCTTAATGATGTCTTCCCCTATGAACCCATGTGATCCCTATGTTTTCAAGTTATGAACTATATGTTGTGGGATTTTGATCTTAAAGGAAGAGTTTTATACAATTAAGCATGTGATGAGAGAATTGCATGAGTTTATGATATAATCCATATTTAACCCTTGTTTTCTAAATGTTGATGATTGAAATAGGGTTTTTGGCCTTGAAAGGTGATTATGGAATTATGCACATTTTTATGAAGAATTATGTAAATACTTTAAGGGTGCTTTGATAGTAAAGTACCAATGATGATGTTGTGTTGTGAAAGGACATTCTCATAAACACATACTAGGATGATGTGAAAGGTTTTCTCACATAACAAGGATTCTTAGGTTGAAAGGCTATTCTCACCTAATTGAATCAATGAATAAGAGCTATCTTAATGAAAATACTATTCTGTGGGATTTATGCTTAGCACCGAGTGGATATTGACATTGAGATGGAAGGTCTCCCATTAGTAGAAGCTGGGTTTCTAGAAGAAGTCTCATAGGATGGAAGCTCTCCCGCTAGTAGAGACTGGGTTTCTAGTAACAATCTTTTTATCCCATAACTATGTGTCCCCCACATATTGATTAACTAGTGGATCCACTTAAGCTAGAAGTTTATGGTTCAAGCTTAGGCAAGTAGAACAACCCTTGTCGATATGTGAGACACAGGGTGATCATGTTATATCTCACATGGTCTCTATGTCGGTTAAGGCTAATTCCCACAACAAGACTAAAAGTGAACTACGGTTACTCAAGGAGTATCTCATATGTGTTCAAAGGCATTAGAGATGATGTTAGCTTGCATTGACGATGATTTATGTTTTATAACTCTTTCATATGATGTTTTAGCTTGGTCAATTGCATGTCATGAAATCAAATGTCCCTTTTAGCATGTTTTAAATGTTTTTATGCATAACTATCATACTTAGTGCATTTTTGTACTAATGCATACTCTTGCCTATGTTTTTCCCAAATATAGGGTCCAACAGACAGGTTTCTGAGTCTTGTGGCAAGTAGTTGAGTTCGTTATTTCCCGAGCTTTGGTGAGTTCTCATTCTTCGTGGACGGAGTTTTTGTTTAGTTTTATTCGTGTATTTCTCTTTTGAATATGATGTATGGGCTAGGCCCAATTTCATTCTATTGTATTGGATGGCTATGATGAGACATGAATTTAGACTTCCACTTTTCATTTTATAAAATATTTTGGACTTGTACTATTGTTTTACTATTATTGTTCTATTTCTTATGTTATGAGAGCTATGTGGCTTGTATGGAGTCCTTCAGGGTTCTATACGTCATGTTACATCGAGGGAGTACCCCTGGGCCGTGACAAACTTGGTAATCAGAGCCCAAGGTTTAGAATGGTCCTAGGATGTCTCATAAGCCACGTCTAGTAGAGTCTTGTTCATGAGTGTGAAGCGTGCCACATTTATTAATCAGAAGCTACAAGATATTTAGGAAACTCCACTTCTTTCATTACTCTAAAGTCGTGCGATAGAGTTTAACTCTATAAAGTCTTTCTCCTAATCCTTATCCTATGTTCTTCAGGATATATCTACGTGAAGAGCTTATACCAGAAAGAATGTGAGGGAGAATCTGGAACAAGAAGATCCTCCCCAAGCTCCTCCTCAAGTTCCGGTTGATCCTTTGGCCGAACAAGTTACAAATGCAAAGTTTAGATTGGCTTTTCAAGTGTTGGCTCGAGCTGTGATGGCCCACGCCAATAGGGAGGTGGTAGTCCCCGTGAACTCAAATGTGGGTACGGTGGCTTCAAGAGTGAGGGACTTTATGAGGATGAACCCTCCAGAATTTTATAGCTCCAAGGTTGAGGAAGATCCTTAAGAGTTTATCGATGAGGTCTATAAGGTACTTGCTATCATGGGAGTGACTTTGAGAGAAAAGGCAGAATTGGTCGTTTATCAATTGAAAGGTTTTGCTCAAGTGTGGTACAATCAATGGAAAGAAATAAAATCGGTGGGAGCGGGCCCCATAGAGTGGGAAATGTTTAAATTTGCTTTTCTTGATAGGTTCTTTCCCTTTGAGATGAGGCAAACAAAGGTGCTTGAGTTCATTAGCCTTTGTCAACGAAGTATGAGTGTGAAGGAATATGCTCTAAAGTTCACACAACTATCCAAATATGCTCCAACAATGGTTGCCAATTCTAGGGTAAGGATGAGTAAGTTCATGTCGGGTGTGTCTGAAGTAGTGGTTAAAGAGTGTCGTACCACCATGTTTATTGGTGACATGGAAATCTCTCGGCTAGTGGTCCATGCATAACAAATTTAAGAGGAGAAACTCAAGGAAAAGTCTAGAGAGGTAAAAAGGGCTAAAAATGATGATGGTGATTTCTCTCATGCAAGGTCCGGTGGACAAGGTCGTCCTAAGTCTCGACAAGGATTTTCCTGTCAAGGTTCCTCTAATGCTTCTCCTAAATTTAACAATGATAGGGTGTCTAACCCTAAACCTCAAGGAGGGAATGGTGGTGGATCTTCATTGGCTAGGTCTACCTGTACTAAGTGTGGTAAAAATCACGATTGTAAGTGTCTAGCCGGCACAAATGGTTGCTTTAGTTGTGGAAAGAGTGGTCACAAAATGAGGGATTGCCCAATGCTTACGGCAAAAGAAAGGGAAGGAACGCAAGCTCCTCCTAGTGGTTTGAATTCCAATGCTTCAAAGAAAAACCGCTGCTATGCTCTCCAAACCCGAGGTGACCAAGAGAGTTCTCCGAATGTAGTTACCGGTATGTTAAGAGGTTTTAAACTTGATGTATATGTTTTACTAGACCCCGGTGCTACTTTGTCTTTTGTGACGTCATATGTGTCCATGAAGTTTGATGTGCTCCCCGATGTAATGTTAGAACCTTTTTCTGTCTCTACTTCTATTGGTGATTCTGTGGTGGCTAAGAAGGTTTATAGCATAGAGTTACTCTCGTTGACTTAGTAGATCTTGATATGTTAGACTTTGATGTCATTCTTGGTATAGATTGATTGCATTCATGTTATGACTTTATTGATTGTAGAACTCATGTGGTCAAATTTTAGTTCCCAAATGAGCCTATCCTAGAGTGGAAGGGTGGAAATTCCATACCTAACGGTCAGTTTCTCTCTTGTCTAAAAGCTAGAAAGATGATTTCTAAGGGTTGCATTTACCATCTTGTTAGGGTGAGGGATGTAGATTCCGAAACCCCTACTCTTGAATCGGTCCCCCATTGTAAATGAGTTTCAAAAGTGTTCCCCGATGAACTACCCGATATTCCTCCTGAGCGGGAAATAGACTTCAATATTGACCTTTTCCTAGATACGCAACCTATTTCTATCCCTCCTTATAGAATGGCTCCGGTAGAGTTAAAAGAGTTGAAAGAACAATTGAAGGATTTATTGGATAAGGGTTTTATCCGACCGAGTATCTCTCCATGGGGTGCTCAAGTTTTGTTTGTTAGAAAGAAAGATGGTTCTCTTTGTATGTGTATTGACTATCGTCAGCTGAACAAAGTGACCATTAAGAAAAAGTATCCTCTTCCAAGGATAACTGATTTATTTGACCAACTTAAAGGGGCAAGTTACTTCTCTAAGATTGATATTAGGTCGAATTATCACCAATTGAGGGTGAAAGAAGATGATATTCCGAAGACGGCTTTTAGAACCCGATATGGTCATTATAAATTTTTGATAATGTCGTTTGGGTTGACTAATGTTACAGCGGCGTTTATGGATTTGATGAATAGGGTATTTAGACAATACCTTGATATGTTCGTAATTGTGTTCATTAATGATATTTTGATCTACTCGAGAAGGGAGAATGAGCATATTGATCATTTGAGGATTGTGTTGCAAATTCACAAGGACTAACAACTTTTTGCAAAGTTTAGCAATTGTGAATTTTGGTTAAGGTACGTAGTTTTCCTTGGTCATATTGTTTCAAACAAGGGTATTGAGGTAGATCCTAAGAAGATGGATGCGTTCAAGAGTTGGCCTAGTCCTCTAACTCCTTCGGACATTAGAAGCTTTTTGGGTATGGCCGATTATTATAGAAGGTTTGTTGAGGGATTTTCTTCCATTGATTCTCCTTTGACGACTTTGACTCAAAAGAAGGCTTAATTTATATGGTCGGATGTTTGTGAGAGAATTTTCCAAGAGTTGAAAGATAGACTTAATTTCGCTCCAGTGTTGACTTTACCGAAAGGTACAGATGGCTTTGTGGTATATTTTGATGCCTCTAGAGTTGGGTTGGGATGTGTACTTATGCAAAATGGTAAGGTTATTGCCTATTCTTCAAGGCAACTTAAAATCCATGAGAAGAATTATCCGACTGATGACCTTGAATTAGCAGCGGTTGTTTTTGCCTTAAAGATATGGAGGCATTATTTGTATAGGGTTCATGTTGATGTTTTCACCGATCATAAGAGTTTGCAATATGTGTTTAACCAAAATGATTTGAATCTTCGCCAAATAAGGTGGCTCGAATTATTGAAGGATTATGACATGAGTGTCCTTTATCACCTCGGTAAAGCTAATGTGGTAGCGGATGCTCTTAGTCGATTATCTATGGGTAGTGTTGCTCATGTTGAGGATGAAAAGAAAGAGTTGGTTCGAGATATCCATGGGTTGGCTCGATTAGGTTTTCAACTAGTCTATTCCACCAAAGGCGATGTTATAATTCATTATGGATCTGCATCGTCTTTTATGATGGATGTGAAGGCTAAGCAAGGTCATGATCCAATATTTGTTGAATTGAAAGAGGTGGTGCTTAAGAAGTCCGTTGATGCTTTCTCCCAAGGGGGAAATGGTGTGCTAAGGTATCAAGGTCGTTTGTGTGTTCCTAATGTTGATGACTTGACGGAACAGATCTTGACAGATGCCCATATTTCTTGGTATTCTATTCACCCGGGAGACACCAAGATGTACCGTGATTTGCGGGATGTCTATTGGTGGAATGGGATGAAGAAGGATATTGTAGGATTTGTGGCTAAGTGTCCTAATTGTCCAAAGTGAAGGTTGAGCATTAGAAACCGGGAGGTTTATCTCAAGACATTGGTATTCCTACTTGGAAGTGGGAGGATGTGAATATGGACTTCATAGTAGGGTTGCCACATACTCAGCGACAACATGACTCGATTTGGGTAATAATGGATCGGATGACGAAATCTGCTAATTTCATTCCCGTCAAGGTTTCTTATTCGGCGGAAGATTATACTAAGTTTTATTTGAGAGATATGGTGAGGTTGCATGGAGTGACCTTGTCCATTATTTCTGATCGAGGTACCCAATTCACTTCTCAGCTTTGGAAATCATTCCAAAAGGGTCTTGGTACCAAAGTTAAGCTTAGCACGACTTTTCATCCCCAAATTGGTGGGCAGAGTGTACTATTCAAACTTTGGAAGACATGTTGAGAGCTTTTGTGATTGATTTTAAGGGTAATTGGGATGACCATTTTCCATTGATTGAGTTTGCCTATAATAACTGTTATCACTCAAGTATTGATATGGCTCCATTTGAGGCACTATATTGTATGAGGTGTAGATCTCTGATAGGTTGGTTTGAGGTGGGTGAAGTTGCCCTTATAGGTCTCAAATTGGTACATGAGGCCACATAGAAGATTCAGCTTATTAGAGAGAGGTTGAAAACAGCTCAAAGTCGATAAAAGTCATATGCCGATGTTAGAAGAAGGGTTCTTGAGTTTGATTTCCATGATTGGGTTTATTTGAAAATCTCACCCATGAAGGTTGTAATGAGGTTTGGTAATAAAGGGAAGCTTAGTCCCCGTTTTGTAGGCCTATATGAGATTTTGAGGCGTGTTGGTAAGGTTGCATATGAGTTTGATTTGCCAAATGAGTTGGCATTGGTGCATCTAGTTTTCCATGTCTCTATGTTAAAGAAATATGCTGGTGATCCAACATCTATAGTTTCCTTAGAGGGTTTTGAAGTTAAAGAGAATCTTTATTAAAAAGAGGTTCCGATTGAGATTTTAGACCGGCAAATCAAGAAGTTGAGAAACAAGGAAGTTTCTTCCGTAAAGGTATTATGGAGGAATCACTTAGTTGAGGGAGTTACTTGGGAGGCCAAGGCCGATATGATGTCCCGATATCCTCATCTCTTTCCTTCTACTCCTACTCTAGCTTGAGGTAATGAGTTCCTCATGGTTTATTCCTTGTTTTGGGAGTCATGTGTGTTTCTGTGTTTTCCATGATATCCTTAGGTTATGTATGTTCATGAAAAAGCTTAAGTTTTGAAAGATATGACTTATATGATTTATTTTCCTCATGCTGTTGTGCATTGAGTATGAGTTGCCTATAGACTTCATGAGATGACTTGCTGAACATACTTTAGCTATGCTTTTTGAGAGTGAATTGCATATGAGCTCCACTAGATTGTGTTGAGCATGCTTTTAGCTTGGAGAAGGTACTTCCTCCTTGGAAATGAAGTAATATTGAGATTTCATGCATATTGGGTTGCTAGATGTAGTTCCTACTTCCTTATAATGCATTTGAGTATGTTTAACTTGGAGTTGATGTTTCCTCCTTGTTTATGTGCATTGCATGCATAATGGGCTAATGGAGTTAGTTTCACCCCTCTTTTGATGTTTTGAGGACGTCCTAGCTTGGAGTCGATAGTTCCTCATTAGTTGTATGCATTGCATTGTTAGGTTAGGTTGTTAGTTCCTCTCCTACACTTTTAGAACCAGTTTGAATCTCATTTGAGGACGAATGGTCCAAAGGGGGAGATATTATAACACCCTGTATTCTAAAAAGACCAAAATAGCAGCTTTCCAGATATTGCAGGTGCCGAACCACGCCAGCCACCCACGGCCCGTGGAGTGGACCACGGACCGTAGGTGTGGTCCGTGGTTGGCATGCCTGAGTAGGATCTGAGGGTCTAGGACCACGACACGACCTACAGACCGTAAGTCAGATCACGGTCCGTGGTTCGAAGACCCCAAGATCACCCTCTCTGACCATGAACGATGGTCCACCAATATGGGTCGTGGGTCAGACCACAGTCCGTCGACTAGGGTCCGTGAATGGTCATCTGTCAGTTATTTTTAGGGGCAGTTGGGTCTTTTACTAATTAATTAATTCCTATACTATATCGTTTGCCTAAGTCTAGGACCCCTATATAGGTCTTTTTACCCCCAAATTAAACCCATTTACTTCATTCTTCCAAATTCCCAAAACTTTTCTCAAATATCCACTCTCTAGAAAGTTGAAGAAGAAAAAGATTCAACGTAGGGTTTCAAGATAAGGTCTCAATTCCTCTATTGAAGATAAGCAATTAGACTTGAGGTATGGTAGTTTTCATCCATAAATCCCTCTCATTCATGGAGTCCCCAAATTCCTATATTTCAAAAAGTAGAATTCCCCAATTTAGTTAGGGTTTTCTTCAATCACCATGGGTTCTCATGATTTTTGAATTGAATGATTGAATTTTGATCTTCTAAGCATGAATTGATGATTTACTATGGTTTTATGATGTTTTTCTATATGAACCCATGTGATCCCTATGTTTTCAAGTTATGAACTATATGATGTGGGATTTTGATCTTAAAGGATGAGTTCTATAAAATTAAGCATGTGATGAGAGAATTGCATGATTTTATGATAAAATCCATATTTAACCCTTATTTTGTAAGTGTTGATAATTGAAAGAGAGTTTTTGGCCTTGAAAGGTGATTATGGAATTATGCATGTTTTTATGAAGAATTATATAAATGCTTTAAGGGTGTTTTGAGAGTAAAGTACCAATGATGATGTTGTGTTGTGAAAGGACATTCTCATTAACACATACTAGCATGATATGAAAGATTTTCTCACATAACAAAGATTCCTAGGTTCAAAGGCGTCTCACCATTGAATCAATGAATAAGAGATATCTTAATGAAATAGCTTGGATTGGCAAGATGAAATGCCTTTCCATGGATAATGAGAATAAGTAAGAAAATACTAT